TGTGACCTGTTTTACTTTAAAAAAATGTGAATTCTCATAGCTGTTAGTTGTTTATGAAAATGGCTGTTATAGTACGTAGGTAAGTCAATAAGTAAGTTACAAATGGATATAGAACTTAAACAAATAAGAATACTGATTTGAAAAATGCTTGTATTTCTCAACATAATCTCCCTGGACATTGAGGCACTTGTCCCATTGTTTCATAAGCCCCTGAAAACCAGCAGCATAAAATTCTTTGGGCTGCTGCTTCATCATCAGGAAAATGTTCAGCCGAAAGATTATGTTTAAGAGGGCCGAACAAATGGAAGTCGCATGACAGGTTTGGTTTTCATAAAGTATGTGCATGATGGGTGCTATGCATGCTAACCCCACAACACAAAAAGCAAAGAATTGGTCTGGCATTACAGCGTCTCAATTGCTACCATGATGAGGACATGATATGCTAGTCCAAATTGTCTCAGGTGATGCGTCTTGGGTTCACCATTACCAGCCATTCAACGGAAGCGACCAGGACTCCTCACCAAAGGCATGTTGCTCTTGCATGATAACACGCGTCACCATGCTTCCAACAAGACAAATGAGATGCTGCAAAATTTCAAGTGGGAATTCCTTAAGCATCCTCTGTATAGCCCTGACTTTGCTCCAAGTAACTTCCATTTGTTTGGCCCTCTTAAACATCATCTTTCGGCTGAACATTTTTCAGATGAAGCTGTAGAAAGGGAATTCTGTATTTCAGCATCCCGTTGCAATTGTTCAAATTAGCGTCCATTGTTTCTCTTCCGTCAAAATTGCAACACTTTTACATTCAACACTTCAACACTACATGTTTCGGCCCCATAAGGCCATCTTCAGGTGTTTTGTTTCAGATATTTTACTAAAACTGTGTTAAAAACTGCTACACTGTTTTGATTCGTGTTAAAATCAGATGCTGTAGTCTTCTCATTTTTTTTTTTTTTTTAAACAAGATAAAATCCTTTAAAATTCCTGTTGCATATTATTTCACCTCACCCAGGGTGTCGTCATTTTCATAAATGTACCAAGATGTTTTTCTTGGCAGCTTGCTCCTCACGTTCGTGGTCTACTTTCAGTTTTTGACTGAAAGCACACACAAACCAGGAGCATATGGCAGTCAAAAACTGAAAGTAGACCACGAACGTGGGGGGCAAGCTGACTAGAAAAACACCTTGGTACATTTACGAAAATAACGACACCTTAGGTGAGGTCAAATAATATGCAACAGGAATTTTAAAGGATTTTATCTCGTTTTAAAAAAAAAAGGACTACAGCATGTGATTTTAACATGAATCAAAACAGTGTAGCAGTTTTTAACACAGTTTTAGTAAAATATCTGAAACATAAAAACACCTGAAGATGGCCTTATGGGGCCAAAACATGTAGTGTTGAAGTGTAGCATGTAAAAGTGTTGCAGTTTTGACAGAAGATAAACAATGGACGCTAATTTGTGGAAAGGGAAGTCACCACCTTGTTCCAACAGCAGCCCAAAGAATTTTATGCTGCTGATTTTCAGGGGCTTGTGAAACGATGGGACACGTGCCTCAGTGTACAGGGAGATTATGTTGAGGAATAAAAGCATTTTTCAAATCAGTACTCTTATTTGTTTAAGTTCTGTACCCATTTGTAACTTACTTATTGACTTACCCTCATATAACAGGCCTCTTCATTTTTTGAAATGAAGACCATGAAGTAACTTGTTTTTTATTGCTGTACTACGGAAATATCAAATGTCTTCAGATGTATCTGCAGGTACTATATAATGTATTGTTAAGGTATTATGTACATTTGATTGTACGAGTATGTAGTGTAGGATTATCCAGAGGAATGAATTGAAAGATATGCACTTTTTGGGGAGAGACATCTGAATGTATGTGTAGTTTTCTCTGGTTACTGTTCTGCATGTACCGTATCGTGTTTCTTGAGTATAATAGTACCTGCTAGAATTTACACTTTCAGGGAATAATGTCTGTGCATGTAATGCCTTCATTTATGTTATGATTGATTTAAAAGGCCAACACTCTCTGAATCCCATGAGGTTCTCCTAACAGTGGATAATAGTGTCTATCTGCTTCCAGTTGTGTTGTGGGAGACATCTTACAGTAATACTACATTTTGCTCACTATTAAGTTGTGTTGTCATGCCATGAGTATACTTGAAGTGTAAGATGACCTTCCCATACCACCCATGCTAAATAGCTAGTGCTTTGTATTACTGGTAATATGTTAACATCATGTAAGGTCTGAAACTTTCACTGTGGTTAAAGTTATAAAGTTAACAAAATCTCTGACTATCAACCATGTCAGTTGGTTAAAAATTACTCACATTTCAGGGACCATCTGTGTCCATCATCAGGATCAGATGATTGACAGAGATGGTCCCTGAAACATCAGTAATTTTTAACCAACTGACATGGCTGGTAGCCTGAGAGGGTATTACTACATCACTTTTTGTGACATTTACATTTGTTTGTGATTGTAAGACAACTTTCAGTTGTTCACCTCATGTATTAGGAAATAATATTTATATTTTGAAGTGACAAGGGGATTTATTTAGGATGTGTAACTTTAAAGCAAAGTTAAAAATTGAATATAAATCTGATATTGCTTCATAATATGCATCACCCACTATTCTGATACTTCTTTTGGCTTATTTTGGACTTCATCCATCGTCGAGTATGTAAAAGACAAAAGACCACGACGTTTCGGAGACTGGATCTGTCTCCGTCTTCAGGTGGGTAGGGAAGGATAAACCTGCTCCAGTGACTGAGACTAGCTCTTTCTAACGGGCCCAACTGAGTAGGTTTATCCTTCCCTACCCACCTGAAGATGGAGACAGATCCAGTCTCTGAAACGTCGTGGTCTTTTTTCCTTTACATACTAGATGATGGATGAAGTCCAAAATAAGCCAAAAGAAGTACAGTATACACCATCGTCAGAATCCTTTCAAGTCTACCATTATTCTGATGTTTGAGAAAATTGTTTACAAAGTTCCAGACCTTTAGGTATTATATGTATTATTACTAAAGCAAGTACCATTTTAATTCTGCAACATATTTAGTGCCAGAATTGTCTTCTTACTCACAGCTGTCTGGTTTATGTTTGTACTATATATGATGTCTAGAGATTCCATATCAGTGCTGTTGTTCCCAGTGGAAATTTTGATAGTATTTTCCTTGGGTCATTCATATTAGACTGCAATTATGTATTCCTCTTGCTGCTAATATTTTGTTAACATGTGTCATATCATTGACCTAGTAACGTGAAGTATGTAATTATGCTGAAGTTGATTTTTATTAAGTTGTTTTACTGTTGATAATTACAAAAATATTTATAAATATTAAAATTACTGTTTTCATCATGATTGTAAGGTACATCATATGCAGAAGCAAAGTTTCCGGTAATTGCAGTATTGAATACCCTTGTGTCACTGTTTACACATACCCAGGGAGTACATCTGGCGACTGTCCCAGAACAAGGTCTTTTTGCTATGTATACTTATTGCATGGCTTCCCAGCTTTGCTATTTGGTGCACATACATCATGGAGTGAAGGTTACAGGTCTCTGTAGTATCTGCCTTATATATCTCAAAATTAATTGTGTGTGCATTAAATGCATGGCATAATCTTCCTTCACTTCAGGATGTGCAGAATACCAGATTGCACATCATGGAGTGGAACTTCGTGTATAGGATGAGGATTTAGTGTGGGCCAGTATTTGTTGTTTTTTATGTTCACATGTCCAGTCATGTAAGATCTGGAAAGAATATCAACTCAGGATTGAGCTCACCACTGTGAATTGACTGATGATGCCAGTTACAGACATTTCTGAATCATATGGCTGTAAAATATGTACAACTATAGTTTTGTAAGGCCATAGTTTTAATAATTTTGTTGCAGTTCTTGTAATTTCCCTTTGTGCTGGACATCGATAAGTTTATGGTAGATCACCACGTATTTATGATGTGTAATCCAGTAGGAGGTGTAAGAGAAAGTCAGAAGAAAGTTTTTGCGATTCATCTTTCCCACAGAAATACAATTCAGGATCTCATCAGTGAAGTAAGAACAACTAACATGTTAATAAACAGCAAACCGAAAGAACATGAAGTATTAACACAAGAAGAGTTGGACAGTATTGGATGTGTGCTTGAACACTTGCGTCATAAATGCCTTGCACAAGAAATGGCAATGTCAAGAGACCTCAAGAACTTCAGTGAAGTTATTGAAGATATGACCTTACAAAACCACAACATTGCCCTCTTTGCAGTCATGTGAATCCAGTAGTTTCTGTGACTGGTATATTCAGCTGTTTCACAGTGGTGAGCTTGATTCCAAGTTACCATTAAAATTCAAATGAGGCTTGGTTTTATTTGAATGGACATGTAAACACATGAAACACCAGGTACTGAAGCACGTCATTTCTACATCTTTTCACAAATTTCCACTCCATGAAGTAAAAGTTGATGTTCTTGAGTACACTTAGTATGAGGAGAGTTGTGGGTCCTGTGTTATATCCACATAAGTTAATTCTGAGATATAAGGCAGATACTGCAGACAGACCAGTAATCTTCACTGTGTGATGTAGCCCAGTCTGACATTACCACAGTTGGCCAAGTGAGAAATGCAGCAGTCCATGCAGTGGGCATGCCCCTGTGCCCCAGCACAGTTGCCAGATAGCATCACTGTATGTGCATTTGTGCACACACATGGGAAAAATTGAGTCGAGCTTGTTTCACTTCATTTTGCAGTCAAAGAATGAAAAGTATTACCAGTTTCACATGGCATAAAAGTGTATGTTACAAGTGTAGAGATGCTCATATCATGGATGGGCATTACAATAGTTATGCTGTATGGAAGGTGAGATTTGCTTCTACTGAAGCTTAATTGACGATTGATAGCATTATTGCAGTGGTTTCTTGTGTTAAACATGTAGGTTGTGTCCAGTGTGTAATTAAAGCTGATACTAGTTCAGTATTTGTTATTTTTCCAGGGTCTTGAGGCTACATTAAATGACCCTAAAAAGAGATACCCAGATAAAGTTAATGCACTGCTATCAGCATGGGAGCATGTAACTGCATTCATAGCGACATCAGCTCATGAGGCTTCAGAAACTTTGATTGATTGGGTTCACCGGTGCGTATGCCATTCTAATTTAGATTTTTTTTTAGTATAGGCCCTCACATCATAATGTTTCAGTGTCATGTTTAATATGTTTGCAGAATTGTTGCGGAAAGATCGTGTGCTGCTTTTTATGTCTTTCCCTTACAGTTTCAAAATATCCAGGCTTTCAAATGTCTCTGTTAAGTGAAGGAATACTGTTGCCCTTAAGCATAACTACAGTAACAACTGTTTCCTTATCAGCTTTCTTAGGGTGGTAGTCTATCAGGGTCTTGACAGTCAAAACTAACCAGTAGTTTATAGATGAAGAGGTATCACTGATAATGAACAGAATGTATATTTATTTTGACACATCATTTTTCTATATTGTATGGTATGGAATATATTTGTGAGAAATTAAATATTATGTGTATGGGATGAGTCCTATTCTAAAATAATTTTTAAGCTTGAAATTAATATAGATATTTAACATTCAGTACCTACCTTAAAGAAACCACATTATTTCCATTATAAATACCAACCACTTAATACTGTTTAGAGAAATAACCACTGTTTATTCTGAGAATAGTACAAAAGTAATAAATAGACCATGGACAGAATTCAGTGGTAGCACATGTAGTAACTGTGCTTTAAAGGATAAAATATATTTATTTATTTATTTGTCCAGTTTTTGAGTTCATGGAGTTGAAATGTTTGCTGTTGTTTGTCATAGCTATGTTAAGAGCACAGTATTCATCTGTATGAAGTGTACTGGAAGTGAAGAGGTGAGGAAAGACACACACACTGTTATGCTCTGCATGGGAGTAAGGAGAGAAGCGAGGATAGTGCACTAAGTATGCCGCCCCTTCCAGTCCCTCTGCTGTACACCTATAATATCCCCATGATTAAGTCTGAAATGAAGCATACAAGAATATACCAGCTTCTCAACAGCACCCTGTATTTTAAAACGAAGACACTACTGTAGTGATTCAGTATTGAGGGGGTGGGTTTCCCCATGCACTGCGACTGAATCTATTGTACATCCCCCTTTTAATTTCTGCCGTCTCCATCCCCTACCGATACTGGTGCTCGCTATCAGTCCCTTTCTGCCAGCGAGGTTTCTACCCTCTACTTGGCAATGGTATCTAATAGTCCCTTTCTGTCAGTGAGTTAGTCCCTCCTCTGGCAGTGGTACCTAATACTTTAGCCCCTTTGTGCCAGCAAGGTTTCTACCGTCTTCTTGGCAGTGGTATCTAATAATTAGTCCCTTTCTGTCAGAGAGGTCGTCCCTCCTCTGGCAGTGGTATCTAGTACTTCCCCATCTATCGGAGGCATTGGAAACTACTTGCGCGGGAAACTTTTTGGCCTAATTTAGCTCAGAGGCCTCCTAGAGGCATGAGGTTCTTTTACGTGCCGTAAATCTACGACACGGGACCCACGGCTTAAAGTCCCTCCCGGAGGACTTGTTCCCTGAATTTTTCTGCCCTTAAAAATTCCACGACCTCCGCTGGGTTTGAACCCGCGTACCTTGAGTCATGAGGTGGGAATGTTACCCCTAGACTACGGAGGCCGCTAGACACTACTGTATCAACGTTGGTTTTATTAAAAGCTTTTATGGACGCAATCTGCTGTCCAGAAACAAAAATTAGAATGTACAAAACTATAATTTTGCCTGTGGTTCTCTGTGGGTGTGAAACTTGGTCTCTGACATTAAGGGAGAAACATAGACTGAAGGTGTTGAGAATATGTGGACCGAAGAGAGATGAAGTGAGAGAAGGTTGGTGAAAGCTGCACAGTGAGGAGCTTCATAACTTGTACTCTTCTCCAAGTATAATGAGAATGATCAAGTCAAGGAGGATGAGGTGGGCAGGGCATGTAGCACGAATGGGGGAGACGAGGAATGCATATAGGATATTGGTGGGAAAGCCAGAAGGAAAGAGACCACTGGGAAGACCAAGGCGTAGGTGGGTGGACAATATTAAAATGGATCTTAGAGAGATAGGATGGGATGTTATGGATTGGATTGATCTGGCTCAGGATAGGGACCAGTGGAGGGCTCTTGTGAACACAGTAATGAACCTTCGGGTTCCATAAAATGCTGGGAAATTCTTGAGTAGCTGCAGAATTGGCAGCTCCTCCAGAAGGGCTCAGGTCCATCAGTAAGTAAGTAAGTAAGTAAGTTTTATGGACATGTTTCGGCCCCTATATCAGGCCATCATCAGGTGTACAGTGTTCAGGTTTAAGCAGCTGAACTGCATCCAATTATCATTCAGTTTACTAAATAAGGATCTCTATTGTGTTTTTGGATGTAATTAAATATTAAATTTAATTCAAATTGATATTGGATTGTGGCTGTATTGGAGGCAGAGGTGGTCCAGCACCATATGAGGGGGCACCCAAAGAAACTCCCAGAATTTTTTTCTAGAAGGCTTGTAGTACAGGCTTCTGCCGCTAGATGGTTGTTTGCAGCACCTTCCTGAATTAGTATGCTGGCTAGTGTCATAAGAGAAATTTGCATTAGTATTTGGTGATTTTTCCAACTGACTTTTTTATAATTCATCTATTATTTAATGGCTGATTCACATGAACAGCGTGCTGCTGTGAAATTTTGTTTTCTTCTGGTGAAAGCGGCAGAAACGTTTCTTATGCTACAAGCAACCTACAAGGAAGCCTCCATGAGTAAAACACAAATTTACGAGTGGTGCTCCCATTTCAAATGTGGTGAAATGTCAACTGATGATCAACCTTGAAGTGGATGTCCTTCAACTGCCTGAACTGATGAAAACGTGACAAATTCGTCAAATCATTCTAGAAGATCATCAGAATTATTATTTGGAAGGTTTGAAAAGGTTGCATAACAGTTTAAGAAAAAATGTCCTGATTTGTGGCAAGGAGGTGAATGGTTCTTTCATCATGATAACGTGCCTGCCCACACAGCGCTGAGTGTGCAGTGATTTTTGACCAAAAGTGGCATGACACCCTTGCCTCACCCCCACGTACTCACCTGATCTTGCCCCATGTGACCATGTGACTTTTTTTATTTCCACGGATGAAAAGAGACCTCAAGGGAAAACGTTTTGCTGATGTTGAAGACGTAAAGAAAAAAACGATGGAAGCACTAAAAGCCATCACCAGCAATGAATTAAAAAATGTTCTGAGCAATGGAAAAAACGTTTGGACAAGTGCACTGAATCAAATGGAGGGTACTTTGAAGGGAATTGAAGTTTTGTTATGTAGAAATAAATACAGAATTTTTATAAACAAATTTAGTTTTTTTTGGGTCCCCCCTCGTATTCTGGAGTTATGTAAAAGAAAGCCCATTAAGTAGCTTTATTTAACAGTTTTATGACTATAAATTTTGATGGTGGTAATTGTTTTGTCAGGCATACACTGTACCTAGTATTACAAGGAGAATGGCCAAAGTTGTCACCGGCAACTAAAACACATTTAAGTGTTACTCTGCAACGTTGTGCCAGCCTGCTTTCAAACCACAATGCAGCTCCTAGATGTAGGACACTGATTGGGCTAGTTAATGATCCCTGGGGTCATCCTATTCTACATCGGATATTGAATGGTGCATCGGATGTCGATGATTCTGAAGGTGAGTATGTGTAGCTTGATTTTATTTAGTGTATTCTGTGATGGAGTTAATTATGCATACTTAGTGTAGTTTAAATAATATTGTACTGATATATATTTTAAATTATTTTGAGAGGAATTTTTTTAAATAAGGCAGTATATACAGGAAATTCCATTTAAAAATAGCCTGGTGTATGTAAACGTTATAATCAAATTGTTAGAGAAAATAACATGTTGTGGCATATTTACTCAAAGCAAGAGTTGTGGAGTCAGAGAAACAACCATTGTTAGGTAACAGCTGTGTAAGCACAACAGTGTTAGGGTCGTCGCTAAGCAACGTATGCACACAACAATGGAGGAACTGTTGTAAGCGGTGTTTTCTATGTGGTCTGTGCCGAGGGTACATGAGTCGATTGTGCATTGTGCGTCAGTATCCCATCTGGAGGCAGGGTCGAATACCTCCACTGTGACCCTGTGAGTCATAGGAGGGGATGAAAAGGGAAGTCTCAAATCTGAGACAGTAAAATATGGTCGCGCATACTAAGGGACTCAGACCCGAGAAAGACTGCGCTGGCAGGGGCCAGCAGCATATACAAAAGACAGACCTGTCCTCTCGTCAAAGATGGCACCCCACAGAAACAAGACTATCACTGTCAAACAGTAATAAATATCTGGTCATGAGCTCCAGATGGGTCTTGACACCAAGACTTAGTGACTGACTGACTGTCATTTGCAGTGTGAGTTTCACTTTGACTTGTGAGTCAGTCCTCTGTGTGGAGGCGGGTTCAGACACCTCCACCATAGTCCTGCGAGTTGTAGGAAATGACAGAAAGGTAGCCCAGTGCCTGGGATATAACTGGGCCACCCTGTTTCTGGAGGTAATAAATATGGGGACCTGGCCCACCAGGTTGGGGAACCATGAATCTGTGGCAGTAACAGTAAAATATGGTCATGAGTCCTGTGGGACTTGGATCCAAGAATGACTGCACTGGCAAAGACCGGCAGCAATTGTAAACAAAATACCCCTCCTCTTATCAGAGAGGATGCCCCACATCAAACCTGCAACTGTCTGACAGTAACATAAACATCTGGCCTTGAGCCCCATGTGGTGCTTGACACCAAGACAGTGGCTAACTGACAGTTGTAGCTTAACTTTTTACACTGACTATGTGAGTTAGTTTAGCTCAGGATCTGCATCTGAAAGGTGCCAACCAGCAAAGGTAGGAGCTGTTGGACATGCCAGCCAAGGATGCTGCATCATCGGAAGCTGCTACCAAGCAGTGTGACTGAGGAAACTGTGTGTGATAATGATTTGTGAAGTGTAGTTGTGAGTTGTACAAGTGTTCAGTAAATCCAGTCATGAATCCAAAACCCATCGTGGCCCTTCAGGTTAGGGGAGTCTGGAATCTGAGTAAAATATGGTCATGAGTGCTGTGGGACTTGACCCAAGAATGTGCTGGAGAGGACCAGCAACAGTTGTAAACAACAGACCTGTACTCTCATTAGAGAGGACTCCCCACATCGACAGATCCACAACTGCCTGACAGTAATAGAAATGTGGGCTTCATACCAAGACAAACTGGCTGACTTCCAAACTTGGGATGGTAGTTGCATGTTTTGGTGTTAATTTGCTACACTGTCAGTTGACCACTGAAGATGAATCCTGGTGTGTGTGTGTGTGTGTGCAATGTTGAACTCTATAGCACGTAAATCAGCGATAGTGTTGTATGGACTGTAATTAAGAGAGGTTTAAACAAAGTGCTAATAAATACATTCATCTGAACTAGAACCTGTTAATTTCATCATGCGCACCACCCTACACTTGACAATAAAATATCAGATATCAGCTACTTAGTAAACAGATTAAACATGTATGCAATATCTATAGAAGCAAAAGAAAGAGAAGTAAACATTATAAAATACACTCTGCATAACAGTACATAGAATGTGGAATATTGCTGAAAGCAAGAACTTTGAAGGGTGCAGAGTCAGTGATTGCTAGAATTGACTGCAAAGCCTGTTGCTGGGCAACAGATTTGTATCACATAATAGGGGAGCAAGTTGGAAGCGGTGTTCTCTATGTGGTCTGTGCAGTATCTGTGTGATGCAGCAATAGGAGAACTATTGGGAGAGATGTTTTTATGTGGTCTGTGCCAAGGCTCTAAAACAAGCAGCTGGGTTTACAAAAGAGTCTGGAGACAGCAGTGAGAAGAGTAAGAGGTTGGTGTGAGATGGTTGCCAGCCTGGAAGTTAGTCAGTGGAGTTGAGTGTGTTAGAGGGCTTCTGTGGTGCAGTATTTATATGCTGTTGCTGTTACAAGCTGGTAGCTGGTGAAGACAGCAGGCTGAGAAGACATAAATGTTTCTGTAGTGAATTGCAGTGTCAGTCAGCAATAGTGCTATAGTTACTTATAGTTGTGATCTCTGTGTGTTCAGTAAATCCAGTTACCATCGAAAAACAAAATGGTAAAACATCCAGCTCCACAAAAACAAAATACAGACACTGACCCACAACACTGGAAAATAAAATGGTCCACTTTCACGTACAGTGGAAAAGAGACAAGAAAAATCACAAAAATATTCAAGGACCCTCAAATAAAAATGGCATTCCAAACTCAGAACACAATACAAAACTTAGAGAAACAACATCCACGAACAGACAAATACAACAATTTTGCATCTACCAAATTAAATGCTTAGACTGCTCACTAAACTACATAGGACAAACAGGCAGAGCATTCCATGCTAGATACAAAGAATATAAGCAAGCAGTTAGAAATTATAATAGTAATTCAGGAAAAGGAAAACACACTGGAAAAATACCACATATACAAAATCAGCAAAAATAACTTGCAGATGATTGACAAACACTGACACACACAAAACCCAATATTCAGAGCACTGCAGGAAATGAACACCAGTTAGCAGCACACACACTGTACATCCTATATAATGCCAGAACCAACTACACAGAAATACTTGGAACATCTACACACAGCACAAAAGGATAAAATCAGCACAACAACAACAACAACAACAACAACAACATGTAACATCACAACTGCAGTGATAGAACAACCAAATATAATTTGCCTATCTTATAAATAAAACACTGATATAACCCATTACATATTACAGACACACCAGACAGCAGGCATACAAATATAGTAACAATGGCATGATAATTTGAAATTGACCTAAAATGAAATATTTTAGAAGCATTTTGTGTCAAAATGAAAAGCAGAACCATGTGATAACAGAGCAGCAGATTCCTTTAATCCAACATCTTATACACCCGATGATGGCCAGTTATGCTGAAACATGTATCATTCTATAATAAGAAGAGAAGAAGACAGAAGTATGGATATTAATATATCGTTGAAGTTGCACAAAGATGGCAAGGAGTAAGAAGATGAAATTAGAATGCACAGTGCAACAGGATACAGCAGTATAATATTTAATTGTTTCAGTTCTTTGATTGTGTATGGTTTTTGTTGCAAACTGTGTCTTTCAGAAAGCCCCATAAGAAATAAAATATGGAGCCCAACCACATCTGAACCATTCAGGAAAACTATTAGACAACACTGTGTTGTCAGAATGCTCATTTATCACATCCAGCACTGCGTTCGTAGTGTATTGCCAAGCCCTGCCCTCTAGAAAAAATTGTTCTGTAAAATTTACACCCATTCCATGGAGAAACCAGAAAGATTCTTCTTTGAGAATGTGAGATAATGCTCAACAGTCACAGTATTGTTTAAAGAAATGGCCCCAGAAATAACACTTGCTGACTTAGTACACTACACCACACCATTAATTTTTCTGGGTGTAATGGTGTCTCAGTACATTTGTTCACAAAAATACACACTGTTCTATGGAGTATGCCATTTTGATCATTGTAGCTTCCTGATGTTGCCACCACGGACAGTACATTCTTCCTAGACTACTGAGTTCATAGGCACCAATAACAGTGATGTTTTTGATGTAGTTAGTTAATTACATGAAATAAAGACTGAACCATCTTTTTATGAAACACCGTGTGTATTTTACATCATGATATTGTTTCTTTTAATGTATTATATGAAATCACAAGAGAGGAAGTGTCCAGTGTAATTAACAGGGAAAAAATGAACACATGCCTGGAAAGTGAACAGAAACATGTTAGGAGAGTGCATGGATTACCCATTGGCAAAGAAAACAGCAGGCCCCACTCCCCAACACTTCTGAAGAAATACACATTTACTCTCTGTGGACTGTTAAGTGAATGCATATTTGGAAGCTAAGTGCTAGTGCCTGCAATGTAACTGTAGGCACACAGTATATTCATAAATTTATGTACCTGTGGGTTGAATTGACGATCCGTAAGGTGTTATTTTTTCATTTGGCAGGTGTGTGTGCATGCTTGAGCGCTCTCCTGTTTATACATCAAGGTTGATTGCAGGCACTTCTGTACTGTATTTCTTTGTACCAAATCTACAGTTTGAGTGTTAGCTTCTGATATATTGCATACCTCTTACTATTCTTACTGAGACTGCACTCCATGTTAATCTAATTGGGAGGTTTGTTATGCAAAGGGTAGACAACATTAATGGTACTATATTTTTGTTGAGGGTATGTTGAAGATAATCTTGTGGTGTCCTTGTGGTTAGATTATGGTGCGCTACAGGCCTTATATTATTGTTATTGAAAAATGGGATTTTATTAGCAGTCTGTAGATACGTTGCACTCATAGTCCCATATTATTCTTTGAAGCAAGTAGGTCAGATTGCATAATCTTAGAAATCTCCTTTGGATGTTTTGAAGGTGTATGCAGTAGCATAGTTGGTTGAGGCACTATGCTACAAGCTGGAAGGTTGTGGGTTCGATTCCCAATGAGGTAATTGGATTTTTCAATTGACCTAATCTTTCCAGTCACATTAAGGCCCAGTGGTCAACTCAGCCTCTGACAGAAATGAGTACCAGCTATCTTCCTGGGGGTAAAGGGCATCCGGTGTGTAAGGCTGATAACCTCAGTGTCATCTTTGAGCTGATTGTCTAGAAAATGTGGGAGCCTCGATATCTCACAACCCTATGGACCTCTACGGTCCTGTTAAGGGATAGCTTTTATCTTTTATTTTATGAGCGTGTATTTTTCTTTTATATGGCTGAACTCCATTATTGGCAATGTGTCATCCTCTTTGAGAAGGTCACTGAGTATTACGTACCACATCGGAATGGAGACATATTGTATTTCTTATTCTTAGTGGGGTGAGGCTGAGTCCACTTGGTACAGCGGCCACTACTGGCCTATTGTACCAGCCCCAGATGATAGATAATGGTGATTGTGCAGCAATTGGTGGTATGAAGATTGGCAAGGGAAACCAAAGTACTTGGAGAAAACCTGCCCCAGCACCACTTTGTCCACCACAAATCCCACATTACCAGACACGGGCTCGAACCTGGGCTGCCATGGTGGGAAGCCAGTGAGTAACCACCTGAGCTATGGTGCTGCCTTCAGATTTACTGCACTACTATCCCCATGCTAACCATATGGGTCAGCCAATCTCATAGTCATCCCATGTTATATCCTGTGAAAGACTGGACTGAATTATTGGATGTCACCATTACATTAGGGAAGCCAACCATCCAATATGAGCCCCATATTATTGTACAAATGTACTGTTGATTCCATTGTTATTCTCGTGAGTATTTTAACTGCAAATTGTCTCCATATTATTCTAACAAATTGGCCCCACTTCATTTCTTTGGGAAGGTGGGCTGGAATATCATTCAAGTGTTATCCTTTTGGGTGATTAATCTGAAGTGGATTTTACTCTTGATCCCCCCTTATTCCCTCAAGAATTCNTGCTGCCTTCAGATGTACTGCACTACTATCCCCATGCTAACCATATGGGTCAGCCAATCTCATAGTCATCCCATGTTATATCCTGTGAAAGACTGGACTGAATTATTGGATGTCACCATTACATTAGGGAAGCCAACCATCCAATATGAGCCCCATATTATTGTACAAATGTACTGTTGATTCCATTGTTATTCTCGTGAGTATTTTAACTGCAAATTGTCTCCATATTATTCTAACAAATTGGCCCCACTTCATTTCTTTGGGAAGGTGGGCTGGAATATCATTCAAGTGTTATCCTTTTGGGTGATTAATCTGAAGTGGATTTTACTCTTGATCCCCCCTTATTCCCTCAAGAATTCTTGTGTAGACATCTAGGAAATATACCTCTTGTTGAAGTTCTCCCCCTCCCCCCATCAGGCAACCATATTGACACTATCACGTGAAGATGCAAACAAAAGAATTGTGACTTGAACTTATAAATTGCTTTAGTTATAAATATTATGTTCATATTCCTATAATCAGCAGATGTTTCAGAGCAAAATTATTTGGATCCAGCTAAGATAAAAACTGTATGTAAGCATGTTTCCTTGAAAAAACTCGCTGATGTTACAGTTGTTTTCTTTATGCATGTTAAGTCTGCTTTTGCATACACAGCCTTCTGATTAATGAGATATTAGCTTGCAGTGAACTGGAGGATTGCAGAATCTCGATTGCATCACTACCACCACCGCCAGTAATCTGGTTAAATGAAGTTATCATGTATAATGTAATAATTGTTTTTGCTTGCTTTGCCTTTACAGTTTTAGAATTGTGTCAGACTGAGAAAGGAATTCTTCTTTCAATGAGACTGGAAATGTTGTGTGAGTCAAAATGTGAAGACTTAGCCCTGAAGTTAGCAGAAGCAATCCACAGATGTCTTCGGTCAAGGGATTCTTGCTTTCTGGAGGAAAGTTCAGATGAGCAGTTCTTTTATACCATAGACATGTACATTGCACTCCTCTACAAATTCAAGAGGATACATGACATTATCAAAGAGGTGATGGTTTTGCAAAATTATGTTTGAAGATGAGTCGATTCTTTCAAAGTGTTTAAACACTTTATGTGTTTGCAGGTGGTCAGGGAGAAGTATTTGTACAGTGGAATCCCCATGTAATGTTCCACAGTGCACAGTGTTTTCTGTCATTCAGTTTCAGCGATCCGAAGTTCATCATCTCATTGTTAAATTTCTTCCATATAAGATTTTCCTAAGTTTAATGTCTAGATTCACTGCTTCTCACAGAGACCTTAAAGGGGGATTTCATTGTGTTTATTGATCCTGAAAGTGATATTGTGACATGAAGACTGAAAGCCAGAAAGCTTGGCCTCATGACGAAGAATGTAGTGGAAACTACATGGCATGAGTTCGAAAGTCACTTGAAAGAAGTTGACGCTAAGGCTGTGTGCGTAGCAGTAGCAGGTGAACTTTCTGCCACTGAATCCTGAGCTTACTGCAGAACTGGCGAGAGAAAAGGAATCTGTGCAGGCATGATACAGCTGCCTAAATTCGACAGGTTGACCTCATGGGCTGTGTTCCGATGGCAGTTCTAGACTGTGGCGGAACACGATAACTGGACGCCCTGTGGCAAGGTGACATATGAAGAGGTTGCTGCTGCTCTTAAGAATTGCTATGGTGACTACCACCTGGTGGAAGCATTCTATTTGCAGCTGAAGGGAAAGACCCAGCATGCTGGGGAATCTCTTTAGGAGTTTAATGCCATCCTGGAGCACTTAGTTAACCTTGCCCACATTGACTTGCCTGAACAACACATCAGTAGTGAAGCCGCCCATGCATTCTCTGACAGGTTAAGGTAGCAAGAAATAAGATGCCAGCTATTCTTAGCACACAAGAAGACACTCACTGAGGCCATCAATGTTGCCTTTTAGCTGGAGGCACCCAATGCAGCAGCTGGAACGTCCGTCAGGTTCTGGCAAACAATGCTGAGGAATTTCATGAAGAACTAGTCCCCCACAGTGGATCAAATAAAGGAATGCTTGTTGGCTAAAGTGGAAGCCATTCAAGGGAAGATAGAGGCTAACTGGGAAGAGATGAGTTCCAAATAAGAAGAATTTAAATCCAGATGGATTTTAGACTAGTCAAGACAGAGACCAACCAGGAAAAGACAGGGGCAGCGATAAAGGCTGGCCAAGAAGTGATGGAGGTAGTGATCTGGAGCAGCCAAGAAATGGCTGAGATGAAGGCCTGTCTAGGAAAGATGGAAGTCAGGATAGAGACTGGCCAGGAATCAAGGGAAGCTGAAATTAATACTGGCTTGGAAGCAGGAATAGGAAGCCAGTCAAGGAGTAGATGCTCTAATGGAGCATCAGGAAGTCCCTAACAAAGAGGCTACAGTGGAGACTATCAGAGCATGAGAGGACCGATATGGTGACTAGCAATGGGCCCTAGTATATTGAAACCTCCAGAAAAGGCGGACCAAAGCTGATGATGGGCAAGGAACCCCTAACAGACTGACATCTGAGAAGAGACAATGGATGCGGCTGGAATGCAGCAGCAGCATAAGGGACCAAGGCCTAAAAGAGCATTTGCATCTAGGAAGCAAAAGGACATTCAAGAAGACCATAGAGTTGGAGATTTCAAAATGAATAGTTGGATCTTCCATTAGACTGGTTCCTAGTGTCAGGACATTGTGGCGGGGCCAGCCACCTCCCAGACAAAAGAAGACACAACCAATGGTTTACATGCCTTCATTGTAGGAGCACTGGCCACCTTTGAGAGTTTTGTCCCCACTGGCTTGGAGAATAATTGGCAATATGCCTCTAAGTTACTCCAAACAAGTAGCCTTAAGGAGGGAGCAATGTGACCCCATGGCTGAAAGCCAGATTTGCGGAGCAAGAAGGAGGAGCCATTGCTAGGCTACAGCAATGTAAATAGCCAGCCATCACTAAGCAACAGCTCTGTAAAGATGTTTCCACAGCAACAAAATCATGTGATCACCGCAACAGAAGACATGAATCCAACAGCAGAGGAACTGTTGTAAGTGGTGTTTTCTATGCAGTCCTCCCCAAAGCTGTATGCCAGAGACTGAAATGGAGCTGCACTCACCAGTGAGTGGTTAGCAGTTGAGATTGTGATTCTGTGGACAGTCATTACTAGCCAGTGATGGACAGACATGGCTAGAAGGCAGACAGTGGCCAGGGGTTCCAAGTATGAAGAGTTAATGTGAGACGGGTGTCAACCAATGAGGACTGCAACCATGGAACATGGAAGATGAGGAATCTATGGCACTGGGAGCTGTTACCACGTTAAAACCAATGAAAATGCAACAGACTGAGAAGACTTAGTGCTTACCATAGTGAATTGTGGAGAGTGGGAGTTAGTGATAGTGCTGTAAGTAATTGTAGTTGCATATTATAAGAGTCCAAAAAATTCACTTACCAATTCAAACCCCATGTCTAGTCACAGAACATGTGACAATATTAATAGCAGTTTTTGCAGATTTAGTGAGTCATTCCAGCTAGAAAAAAAAAGTTAAAGCCATCCCTGTGACAGTCCATGGATGCCCATAGGGTTGTGAGTTTTAAGGCTCCCACATTTTCTAGACAATAAAATCTTAAATTCAGAATTTAGACTGTATACTACCTAAAATCTATGCTAGCTTTCATGACTTCATGCCATTACTTTAGGATCTTATTTCTGAAGCAGTTGCTACTCACAAATGTCATTAAAATGGGTCTTACTCGTAGTGGTTACAGAGCTATGGCTATATGCAGTTCCATAATGTTTTTCACATAACAAAGCTATTGTCAAATAAGTCATACATTGCACAGTTAATTCTTGGATACGCATAGAGACTGATTTTTGTGTTGAACGTATTGTCACTTGTCTTGGTTACGGGTAATTCCACGTGAAATCATCCCGAGGGGTCGCTCACAATTTAAAAAAAAAATATATATTTTGTACACTTATTTATACATATTTTCATACTACAAAAACATTTTTAAAAAAATTGTAATCCACTCAGTTCTCCCGGTACAGGCGTTTTTATAATGCGAAAAAACGAGTTTTCGGCTGAAATGGAGGTTTGTGTTATCTTCCATATCTCAATAACTATTGAAGCTACAGACTCCAATAAAATGCAGTGTGTTCCTCATGATATGGACTACAAATCATGTTGTTATAAGGTTTTACTCAGCTCACTTTCTCTAGGAGTAATTAAACTTGAAACTTACCCATCAATTTTGGGAAAAACACTATTTTTCACCTTCAAAAACCAGTGGGAGGTGGAAAGTATCAGATCTGTGATTTCTGCTCTTTGTTGTTACCTACATGGGGAATATAATCACGTAGTTTTGAATCCTGTACCTAGTTTCCAAAATTTTCCAGGAGCTTCCAAACTTTGCTCTGGGCCCAAAATCGGCCATTTTTAACATCTCATATCTCCGCTGGGGAAGCTGCGAAAATTTTGAAATTCATAGAAAATAATGCTCTATTCTAGAGTAACTTGGAGATAAAATTACAACTTTCATATTCAAGTAAGAGCGAAGTTGTGGGCACTTTGAATTTTACCAAAAAAAATCAATACCTCAATAATTGGCTTACCTGTATCCAGTAGTATTAGTTCTTTGTGTACTCCAATGAAAATCGTCCAGTTTGTTTGAAAGTAGTTCAGGAATTGTCCACTACCAAGGTGCCTTCAATATCATCGGACTCGGATGTTTTATAACGCCTGACTGTGTTTTCCTCCAGAGGGACGACCCAGTGTTTTTCTCTTGTGTGGGGTACAGTTTTACACTTTTGGATCCTGCTTTTTAGAATGATATCATTTCTTGCAACTTCCTCTGTTGGCACAAAAATGTAAAGTATCCCTGAGAGATTTTCTGTGTGGAATTTGTACAGTTCGAGCGGGCACATGATTTGATTAAAATGAGTTCTTTGAAGATTGGCTTTTGCTGCTTGCCTTTACGTGGTACCGCCAATACTCTCACAGGCATTCTTCCCGTGTGAGGTGGTAAAAAATTCATTCTCCTTCAAGTCCGAAGTCTTCATAGTGATGACATAAATTGAAAAGATTCTTTTTGTTCTTATATTGGCTTCCAGCGCCATCATTGAAATAAATAACGTTCCTGACTGAAGGCACATTTTCTTATATATCGGCGATAAGATATTTTTGGAACACATTAACTGTGTCTGTATCATGCTTTACATGATCACTGATTATACACAAGCTTCGGCATTTTGTTATACTGCCCGCCATGTAGTAATACACAGATGGGTGAAGTGTAGCCTGTTTATTTACCCAATGGAAACTTTGAATCTCATCTTGAACGAGAAATGAATAGTTTTCTGCAAAATCTGCAAGAACGAGGTACTGTGTTTCGTCCAGGATTTCCCCCGTATCTTTCAAATACTGTGACTGAATTTTAGCCACGTAGTAATGTTTTTTCAGTTGTGTCAGTTTTTCAATTAGAGATTCCCAGAATTCACTGTAACTTTGCATTACAGAAATCATGTTAGCTCTGTCTGTGTTGACCCATTGTAGACTATTTGATCCGGCATGCTCTCTGATCCGGCTGATAGCAATTCCGTCAGAATTTCTTCTGCAGGGCAGTCTGCGCATTTGTTACTCATGCACTTGTAACTTTCGATGTCACAAACCATTACACGTAATAAATCCTTGTAGTCCGAATTCAATTTTGCTCCCTCTAGCATCAGCTTAACATTTTGGTGATAGCTGCACACACAAACTGTATGAGTCCCCAATGCACCAGCAATGATACACCACTTTGTTCGAAGTGCACAAAATTTGGAAAAACCAATTTTGTGTTGAGGTTGAGTATTCTTAAAGTGAATGTAAAGTTCCTTCAAATTGCATAGTATCAACTGTTTCTGCATACACTCTTTGATACCTCCCACGTTAACACTCACACAATCCTTTTTTCCAGGGCAGATCCTACTGTTTACATTGTTTTCATAAAATTCTGTGACAGCCTGAATTGTTTCGTCACTAACTGTCTGGCCCCGCCTTTTACCTAAATTTGGAAGGATCCCTTGCGTCTGCTGAAGCGCTCGAGTAATTCTAACCAAGTGCTCAGAAACTTGAAATTCTTGACTTATCTTCTGTCTTGACCGTGAAGTTGTCAATAAGCTAATGATTTTAATTTTTGTTCTTTGCTTGAGATTAAACATTTCTCCTTTATTTTGTTAATCAACAAATCATACTCCTCACTTAATGCAAAGGAAGGTATTTGTTCATCTGAATCAAGATCCATCGAGTCGTCTGAAAATGAACTCCATCAAAGAGAGTCGGATATTCTTCTACAGTTTTTTGATAAAGCAGCGGGTTGTTTCTCAGTATTCATCTTCATAATTTTAGCCATAGGAGAAATATCTAGAGCCGAACATACTGCTTCTAATTCTGCCATATTTTCTTGCATAGGTGCAAACTCGTTCGTTCCAGAACCACTATTGCCCCCACTTATGGTTTCTTTAACAACAAAAATCTTTGTGTAACAGTTAGGCCACAAGGATTTACCTGGTACTAGAGCTACCGGAAAATTCTTTTCTTTCTTCCGATGTTCTAATGAAATTTCACCTAAACCTTTCTTAATGGTTCGTTTGTGCACTTTTAGCAGGTCATGACAAATACCGTATGTCCAAAAAGTATCCGATTTTATTTTTGTCCGCTGCAAGTAATGGCCAAAGGGGTGGGGAAACTGAGCGTAGTGGTAGAAGGGACTTTCATGCGCATGCATGATTTTTTGCTGACTCGCAACACTGCTGGATGCATCTGTGGCTACCAGATAGCGAAGTGGTGTAATACGTGTTTGTCACATTCTTGTTTTGCTCAAGATGACAGAACACTTGGAGCAGCGAGACTGCATTAAGTTTTGTCAGAAATTTGGGGATACCCAAGTGGAAACAATTCACAAAATTCAGAAGGCTTTCGGCGATGATGCAGTGGGGGTCACTCAAATTAAAGAGTGGTTCAACCGCTTTAAACATGGCTGTATATCAGCGGACAGTGAGCAGCGTTCTGGGAGACCGTCAATGCTGATGTCATTGAAAAAGTGTGGACACTGATCATGGAGGACTATCGTTTGGCCATCTGTGAAGTTGCTGATGAGGTTGGGATCAGCAGAGGTTCCGCAAACACAATTTTAACTGAGGATTTGGGCATGCGAAGAGTGGCGGCAAAATTTGTGCCCAAGCTGCTTTCGCCAGAGCAGCAACAACTCCATCTTGAGGTCATGCAGGACATGCTGGAGTGTGCCAACAGGGATCCTGAGTTCCTGAAGACTGTGATCACTGGTGACGAGTCATGGGTGTACGGATATGACCCGGAAACCAAGGTCCAGGCATCACAATGGAAGCATCCAACATCCCCAAGGCCCAAAAGAGCACGACAGGTTCGGAGCAATGTGAAGTTGATACTGACTGTTATTTTCGATTACCGGGTTGTTATGCATCATGAGTACACACCACTAGGCCAGACTGTCAATGAGGAGTACTACCAAGAAGTCCTCCGCCATCTTCGTGATGCAGTTCGGCGCAAGAGACTGGAGCTGTGGGACATACGCAACTGGCAGTTACATCATGACAATGCCCCAGCTGATTCATCACACCTGATCCAGGGTTTCCTGGTCAAGCACAGCATTCCGCAGGTTCGCCAGGTTCCCTACTCTCCTGACATGGCTCCTTATGATTTCTGGCTGTTCCCGAGATTGAAGACACCGCTAAAAGCCTGCCGTTTTGACAGCCGTGAGGACATCATACAGAACGCGACAGTGCAGTTGCACGCCATGCCAAAAGGAGCCTTCCAGAATTGCTTCCAGCGATGGAAGGACCACTGGGCTAAGTGTGTGGAGTTACAAGGGGTCTACTTTGAAGGCGATTAGGTATTGTAACCACCCAGATACAGAACTTTTTTTTTTCCCCGGCCCAAGGTCGGATACTTTTTTGGACAGAGTAGTATTTCCAAACAGGTGGTTGTATTTAACAGAATACTTAATCTCATGATGTTTGCATTCATTCATTCATCAGTAATCTGTCAGATGACAGGTCCACAGTCTCTTCCAAAACAGTTCCTCCACTTAATGCGATCTCAAGCTTCCTCCTTCAATTAAAATATCCTCTTCTGTCGCCAAGGTCATCCAGCATCTTCTTATGTCTTCTTCCTCATCTTCTGGGCACTTCTATCCGCCCCTCCGGTTTGTTTTGTCTCCAGAGGAAACATCTCGCATACATGGTATCTCTGTTTTTGGAAATAGACTATCCAGGAAAAGTGATAATGTGGTAGTTTTTCCATTTGCTTTCCACATCGCAGTACAACAGCCGTTCAAATCACTCTGGTCATGCCTGTTGCTATACGAACTTGAACCATCTCGAGCATCATTTGCTCTGTGCTTCAAGTTACTGCTGATGACCCTGCTTCCGGCATCAGTTTTTGGTTTTTGGTGTATCTCTTTGTCTGATGCCTACCCTTTGACCTATCCAGCAAGGGAGGCCCTGCCAGTAGCTATGCTACCACTGGTATAGCTCGCAGGGTCCTTGGCATACTCAAACCCCCTCACCACGATAAGGTGGAGACACCAACGCGGGGGGATGTTTGCATATGGAACTCAAATCGCATTCACCCAATCTTAACTTTAAAACAGTTTGTTTCTCTTCACTCAGTTGACCCACAGGCGTTAACTGTTTGTTGATGGCACCATATGTAGTTTTATGACATTCTTCACATGTGACAATACCTATAGAACATTCCATTTCAAAAAGTTTTTACTTTCGACTTGGAGAATACCAAGCTCGATACACCTGAAAGATCTACAGTTGCTGAACATACACTGACTTACAGTTTGAGACAACATTCACGTGAATGCTTCATCCATACATAAAGCTGCTGAGAACGCAGCCCAACACTAACTCACGATTACAAAAGTTTGGGTTCAGATGTCAAAACACACGAGGCGCGAAATAAGAGACCTACATCCATGTTTATAGCTGTCTAAGAACCGAGTGTTGATAACATGCCATTCAGAGCAGTAAGTACAGGCCTGAAAATGATTTTTATGTCAAAAGATAGATCTCTCATCTTTTATACCGATTAAAGAACCGCCAGTACCATTGGATGCAGGTAAGCCAATTATCGAGGTATTGATTTTTTTTGGTAAAATTCAAAGTGCCCACAACTTCGCTCTTATTTGAATATGAAAGTTGTAATTTTGTCTCCAAGTTACTCTAGAATAGAGCATTATTTGCTATGAATTTCAAAAAGTTCGGAGCTTCTCCACCAGAGATATGAGATGTCAAAAATGGTCGATTTAGGGCCCACAGCAAAGTTTGAAATTTCCTGGAAAATTTTGGAAACTAGGTATGGGGTTCAAAACTACGTGATCATATTCCCCAAGTAGGTAACAACAAAGGGTAGAAACCACAGATCTGATACTTTTCCCCTCCCATTGGTTTTTGAAGGTAAAAAATAGCTTTTTTCCCAAAATCGATAGGTAACTTTCGAGCTTGATGAGACCTAGAGAAAGCGAGTTGAGTAAAACCTTATAATAATATGATTTATAGTCCATATCATGGGGAACAAATTGTTTTCTTATTGGAGTCTCTAGCTTCAATAGTTATGGAGATATGGAAGATAACACAAACCTCCATTTCAGCAGAAAACGCGTTTCTTCGCATTATAATAACTTCGCTATTAATTGAATATCAAAGTTGTAATTTTAACTCCAAGTTACTCTAGAATAGAGCATTATTTTCTATGAATTTCAAAATTTTCGCAGCTTCCCCAGCGGAGATATGAGATGTTAAAAATGGCCGATTTTGGGCCCAGAGCAAAGTTTGGAAGCTCCTGGAAAATTTTGGAAACTAGGTACAGGATTCAAAACTACATGATTATATTCCCCATGTAGGTAACAACAAAGGGTAGAAATCACAGATCTGATACTTTCCCCCTCCCACTGGTTTTTGAAGGTGAAAAATAGCGTTTTTCCCCCAAATTGATGGGTAAGTTTCAAGTTTAATTACTCCTAGAGAAAGTGAGCTGAGTAAAACCTTATAACAACATGATTTGTAGTCCATATCATGAGGAACACACTGCGTTTTTATTGGAGTCTGTAGCCTTAATAGTTATCGAGATATGGAAGATAATGCAAACCTCCATTTCAGCCGAAAACTTGTTTTTTCGCATTATAAAAACGCCTGTACCGGGAGAACCGAGCGGATTACAATTTTTTTAGAAATGTTTTTGTAGTATGAAAATATGTATAAATAAATGTACAAAATATAATTTAAAAAAAAAAACGGTGAGCGACCTCTCTGGATGATTTCACGTGGAATGATCCTTACATGGTTAATAATTACTGTGTTCTCTGTTAGATGAATTGATGTATTGAACAGTCACCAGTCATAACCACACATAATTATAACAGGATTAGTGGCACAATAACACATAAAGTAAAGTCTTCAACACTTCAGCTCTTGGGTGCTCCTGAAACGAATTCTGTGATTTAAGTCTGTACAAAGCCAAGCCCAATTCCATAATTCCGCAGTCCCCTAATTGATTAATTCAGCTGACAAAGTCTCCTGTTATAATGTTTTGGTGAACCATTCAGAAGTCACCTCTTTCAACAGTACAGTAATTGTGTTCTTAGCTGTTAACTGTGCTTTGAATGGTTCATTACCGTGGATATCGGCTTTCAGTCAGTTAATGTTAGACTGCATGTATGAAGACCCTAGTAACCTAAGTTCTATAGTTGCCTGTGTTACCGAGGAAATGTGTTTACTGAACCGTTGCCCAGTTGTACATGTTACGTTTTAATGAAATGGTGCGTGCACCAAAAGTGTACACAAGATGAAGGGAGTGAAGGAAGGCTGGATCTAAGCATGATAGGTGATTGTTATTAGTTTTCTCAGTGGAAAGGAGACACTGTTCACAAGATTACAATAATGACTGTGTGTAGTGAATTTTGAGCTGAAACTGAAAGTCTTTTCAGCCAGCACCCTATTTAAATGACAGGATTTTTCAAGCTGTGTAATAAGTGGTTTTTATGTTCATGGGCCTTGTCTAGAGATAAAAAGTAGTATTGCAAATAACAATACACAGAGACTTTTGCCTTCAATCTTGGGATCAGCCTATTTTTTCTTTTATTGCTAGTGGGGTGGGACTAAGTCCCTTGTACTGTGGTTACTTCTTGCCTATTGTACGAGCCCCACATGATAGGTAAGGGTGATTGTGGAGCAATTGGTGGAATGAAGATTGGCAGGGGAAACCAAAGTACTTGGAGAATACTTGCTCCAGTGCCACTTTGTCTACCGCAAATCCTACTTGACCAGACCTGGGATCGAACCCGTGCTGCTGCGGTGGGAAGCCAGCGACTAACTGCTTGAGCTATGGCACGGGCCATGGAATCAGCCTAGGTGTGGTGTTATTTGTTCATTGACCATTAATATGGTTGATGTGTGGGCACAAGGAAAAATCAAACAGCTACTGCACGGTTCTTCCCTGGGGCATATCCCAGGTATTTGTGTGTTTTTGACATGACCCCCTAGGATTTAATTTATGTGAAGGGATAATTTGTAAATTTGTTGAGAGAACTTCTGGAATGACCAGATAATTCTGTTCTATATTGACTTACGTTATTTTAAGATCTCTTTAATCATGTTAAGTTTAAATCAGTAGTAAAGTTTTAACATTAAATTATAAACAGTTGAAAGCAAAAATAACTTTATGTTATAATTAAAATGTATTATAATTTTAAAAAATGTATTTTTGTTATTTCTTTTAGTTACTTTGGATTGAATAAATGTAGTACCGAAGGAGGATTTAAAGTTAAATCTCAGATTGTTGCGCTTTGTGTCATGTGACTGATATTCAGAAGAAAGCTTCAATTTTTTTTTTTTTTTTTTTAGGAAACACTTTAACTTGAAAGATGGACTGCTTTTGGTGAGGAGATATGCCTTAAAGGATGGTAAACGTGCCCGTGTATGGAAATACAGTGCGAAGGTTGCGGAGCTTGCTGCACAGTACTTCTTGACGGTGGCCATGGTGAAGCCAGTCAGTGAGACAGGAACGCTGCTGCAGGATCTCATGACTGAATGGGCTCTTCTACACAGTGATTTGCCTTCTGTGTCACAGACTTTGCCAAACATGATTCGTAAATTGATTCAACCAGCTGAGAGTGCTGTGCATATTTACCTATTCTGCCAAGTGCTTGTGAATCAGGTGAAGTATACGTATGTATTTTCTTCTTCTTTGTTAGATTTCCTGTACAGAATTGCAGTATTGCTTAGATCACAAAGATCTGGATTTTAGTCACTTAAATGTAACTTACCCTGAGCTTATAGAAGAAGTTTACATAGATCCAAATTAAACCCCTTCCTAACTTGTGAAGCAATTTATTTTGTGTAAGACTTGAGGCTTTCGTGGTTGTGACTATGAAGAATGATGTCTTCTGGGATGTGGTGCTGTGTAGATATTGTATAAGCTGACATTTTGGTGGAATGTATTGCTATCATCTCCAGGGTAAAAGAAAAAAGGAAAAAATCCGTGAGCGAGGAACCAGCATGAGGAGCCACCTGCTCATGTTTCTTACCAACATTTCATAGATCTGGCCACTAGCAGGAATACTGAAAAAATCTGTAAGTTCCAATCTTTAGTCCAGGTACACCAGTAAAAACAGTGTCTTCAGAACTGGGAATCCATCTGACCAAACATGGTTTGAGGGAAAAAAAGTGAGCCACATCTGTGTTCACAGTCACTAGGAGTGCTGAATTCACTTTCAATGCTGTCAGTTGTTTCTGGTAGATAATTGCATCTTCCTTGCATGGTTTTACTGTAACATGTCATGATATTTTGGTTGCAGAAGATCCAGAATTGAATTACAAGCATCGATAGTTCTGTCTCCCATGATTTCTAGACTAAGAAAATCACTGGGGTGAAAACCAAAACCCTGCACAAATAACTTGAACCTCAGTCTGGTTGTCATTGTAGCAAAAGAAATACAGTCACATTGCTGACCAGTTCAGATGGCCAAGTCCATTAATGCCATAGTGCTGCTCACATGAATCATCAGCACCTAGAGAGAAAGCCGTGTGATGGCCGTGCACATCAAGATTTAAAGTTGAAATGAAAATTAGTTTGTGTTTGTTTTAATAAGTTACATTTGAGATGTGTCTTTCTTTTATTTCAGTTTGGAGATGCACTGAAATCTCTCTGCATTGAATTGTATATTAAGGGACTTACAACTGACATGAATGAGTTGGAACAGCAGAAGATGAAAAATGACAAAGAGAAAGTTCGGGAGGCAGAAGTGAGATTATCTGATGGTTTCTTGAAGCTTGCTGACTTGGTTAAAGACAATGTGGGGGTGTGCCGTGAGTGTGTCCTAACTGCATTTTCCTTAAATCCAACTCGAGTTTGTTATGAACGTATCAAAGAAATGGCTGTTGCAAGTGGGAAGTGTCTTTGTCTTCCTGCTGAAGTGACTGCTGTAGATGTAGGAGATAAGAGGAGTGTTAGTGAGAGCAAATTACAAAATACAGGGACAGAGGATATGGACTTAAGTTTTCACTGCATTGATGGGGAAAATCAGAACAGTCATGTTGAGGTAGACACTGGCCAAGGGATGGCCATGAGGTTTGACCATTCAAATGAAGTTTTGTCATCTCATAGTTCCGAAGATGAACAAAATATTTCGGACTTCCATCTACAAAGGAATAGATGTAACCTCCATCCTCCATTTGACCCTAGTACTGGTGGTGCTCTTGGTGAACTTTGTCCTGAATGTGGTGAATTCACTGGAATAGAATCTTCTTCTGTGGACCCATCTGGTGTAGAGAAGAAAGAACGTACACTTGATGCATTGATCTTAATCAAAGGAAATACTGTGACAGAATCTTTGAATTATGATGTGCTGTCTGCCCCGAACCAAGTGCTGGATGCAGAGACACTAGGATTGACTCCACAGCTTTGTGATGATTTGGCGGTTGTACTTAGTAGTCCTCGTTATCAGATGCTTAGTTGGGTTTTAGACTGGGCGGAACTTAGTATAATGTGTGAGAAATATTTGGAGAACTGTGAGGAAATGAGAAATACTACCAAGGAGTTGAAATTCTTGAATATTGATTACAATCAGTTTAAGGATTGGCCAAGTGGTGAAGATGAAAAGGATGAGTATTATGGCATTGAGAAAGGATATGAACAGTGGGCTGACCTTAGCAGTGATACATCGGAAGGTTATTTTAACCGTTCATACAAAAGACGTGCAAGGCGCATGCAAGCGGATTCTGACTCTGATTCTTCTCTTGCACCCAGATCTCGTACCAGAGGAAGGAAAGTGCACAGGTTGGATTCTTCAGATTCTGACTATGACTCCAGTCAAAGGAAAGAAAAGATTAAGCATAAGAACTATAGGCCACCATCTCTGTCAGTATCTGATTCAGATACTGGTACACAAGATAGTGTGACTGATGATAGTCTTGGAAGTGATGGCTTCAGAGTTGACAAGCCAAGAAAGGAGAAGATTGGGAGAAAGGAAAAGACATCATCTGGTAAAAGAGTTGACCGGAAACAATTGAATGACATCTCTCATTTCCGAGTTATGATGAATGATGACCTAAACCATGGTGACTTGACAAGTGATCTGTCTAATAGTGATGTAATGAATATATTTGCACAGATTGGTGATAATGGCAAAGAAGTTTCAAATACACAGTTCCCTTCAGTACCTTCCATCAACAATATTACGAATCCAGATAAACATTCAAGTGATCCTTCTGTTCTGAAGACATTAAGAATGTTCAGACCTCACAATACAAAGAACAGTGCTCGAGATCACTTATCACAAATTTTGCACAGCAGAAATAAGGAAAGTCCATCTGCAAGAGAAGGGCATGGTGTAACATATGCTAAGTTTGCACCCATGCTAAGTACTTTGAATTTAAACCCACGTATAGTTCTAACCAGGGCAGATGTTTCACATCAGGATCTCAAATCGAGCAGGGTGTTAGCTGAAGCAAATAATAGACCAGGAAATCCTCTTTCCCAAATTACTCCAGGTATCCTGTCCAGAAAACCCAGCCAGAGTAAAAATATCCCTTATGACGTTGATGGAAAAAATCGGATTCCCTTATCCCATTCATTGGTTGGAGATGTGAATAGACATGAATATATGAAAAGTGATCTTTTAGTGAAGGCTGTTCCAGGATTGAATTCATTGGACATGATTGTACCACCACCTTCAGAAGCCACAGTACAGGTTGTACAGTTGCCTAGAAATCCACCATCCACAAGTGACAACAGTCAGGGAAATTCCTGCCACCCTCCGAAAGCAGCACATTCACAAAATGCTCACTCTTCAGGAAACTCTTCAGGTGGGACCTCAGGTCAAGATCTGGAGTTGGGTCCAAATGTGAGTAGCATATCTACCCATTCTCAGCCTTCACAGTCAAGTACAACCACACCCATTCAGAATCCTCAAGGTCAGATAGCTATTTCAGCAGCATCAGTACAAAGCCCTAGCATATCTATGCTAGGGCAGGCAAAATCAAAATCAAACCAGCAGTCAGAAGTAAAGTACTTGACTACAACCAGTGAAGTGAATGAGATTCTGAGAAGTACACTTGGAGAAGGCAGTGTTCAGGTCCAGACAGGTTCACAGGTTCTAACATGTACAAGTCTGGCTAAACAGAAGCAGAGTTTAAGACAAGAAGTAAAATATCTGACATCACCCAGTGAAGTTACAGAGATTCTCAGGAATACTCTTAGTGAGGGAGGCCAGCAAGTTCCAGCAGCATCATCTGCTTCACTACAGCACACTTCATCAGCTTTAGAGTTTGTTTCACAGGATAAAACAAAGTTGAATTCACTATCAGATATTAGATATCTGACTTCAACCAGTGAAGTGAATGAGATTCTGCGAAACACTCCAGTTGTTCAAAAGCCAGTGACATTAGAGACAAATACTTGTTCAGGTCCCTCATTACTTAATCCTGCTCACCACACTAATCATTCTCATCATGTTAATTCTGTAAGTCCATTTCCAGTTGTAAAAGGAGTGGACTTAAATGTAATAGCAAGTATTATATCTTCCAAGAATTGTACTAATTCAATTCCTACATTACCAGATAATCCTGCTGTGACATCAGATTCCCAGATGCTTCAGTTAGTATGCAAAAGTCCCAAGTTTCAGATAAAACCTGTCATCTGTACACAGGCAGGTCCTAGAAGCATTCTTGCTGATCATGCTGATGCATCCACCAGTGCACCATCATCTTCATTATGCACTGAACACCAGCAGCAGCAGCAGCAGGCACAACTGCAACAGCAAAATCAACGCCTCATTCAGCAGCAACAGTCACAGCAACAGCAACAGCAGCAACAACAACAAGTATCTACCCATTCCGTATATGAAGAGGATTTTGCAGGATTTCCTGCATCTGTGGATTCACCAAGCAGAGATAAAAGTGCACCTAACAGAGGACTGAAACAAGGTTCAACTCAGACTGCTACTTTACCCAAGTTCCAACAAGCTTTTGGGAAAACAATATACAACAATCAGGCCAGTACTACTGTAGATGGAGGATCCCAGAGCAGTACTGTCAGGAGAAGTGAAGATGAAGACAATCCACCACGTAGCACAGTTTCCCAAGAGACTGTAGCACAAGCATCTGCTGTTCCAAGCACAGTACTTTCCAAAGCTGTTCAGACAACGAATATGAGTAACATAGTCTCTCATCCTCCTGTAACAGTGGGTCCTCAGAATGAATCTTCCAGCACTGCAGATGTTGCAATACCTTCTACGCTTCACCTTACTAGCACAGGATCTGTGTTCAGCATTTTGCAAGGATCTCCTAGAATTGCTGTGTCTGCAGCACTTAGGGCGGGAATGACTGTGCAAGCTATACAGACTTCATCAGGTGTTATATACATGCATCCTGATACAACCACTTTAGTCAAATCTAGTGCTGGAACAGCTCTTGCCAGCACCATTTCTGCCAGGAGAACTTCAGATATCAAAACCTCTCAGTCATCTGAAAGCGTTCAGCAGGTACAGTTGCCTGATGGGCTGCCAAGTTCTGTGGCTGTTGCTATAACTACACCTTCTTCTCCAGTATTGACCAAAGATGCAATGAAGAGGAACAGAATGCTGGCAACAGCTCTGCAGAGTACTCACCGCTCAAATACACTGAGTGGCATGGCAAACCAAGCAACCAGTACTTCACAGTTAAGGGAACCAGAAGTGTGTGTAGTAGAGAGTTCATCTGACGAAGAGGTGAATAATTCAGCAACACAGCAACAGCAAACACTTGTTACAGCAGCTGCTGTACACAGGATAATGTCAGTTCAGAAAACTGTTGCTAGACAAGTGGGTCCAACAATCAGAAATGTTCGACCAGTGTTGCACATTCCTGGGGGAGGGAATCTTATAGCTCGGTCTTCTGCTACCACTGTTGCCTCGCCATTGAGGCAGCAGGCTGTTCGGTCAGTCCTGGTGTCTCCCGTGTCTTCTACATTAAATTCTAATGTAAACACAAGGATATCTCAGAATGTGGGAGCATCAGAGACTTTGATTAGACATGGTTCAATTGAGCCTACAGTGAGCTCAACAACTCTAGAACAGTTAAGGGAATTTGAATCTGTTCTTGAACATGTGACCAACACATCACAAATGAAGGAAAGAAGTACAGTCCAACCTCAGCCACAGCATACTGTACTCACCCAACAGCTGCTACTGACACAGGCAACATCTTCAACAACAAACACTGGTATGGAGTTCACATCTTGTACTAGAAGTCAGTCTACACCCAGTACTTATTCACAAGATTTGTTTCCAGTAGCTTCAACAACAGGAGCAACATCCAGGGTGAACGTAACTTATGTGACACAAGCTTCAACAATTCGAACAACAAGCATTGTTCCTGCAGGTAGTGTTGCAGGAGTTAGTGTAACAGGAAAGATGTCATCTCCAGTCGTCGTAGTGACAAGTAACTGTCAGCCTGTAGCTTCACCTGCACTGAGTGTAACTTCACAAAGCTCTTCTAGTCCATGTGTGACTCCTGCACCATCTGCTACTTCCACTTCTTCTGGGAAGTCGCCTCCCAAATCATCAAAGTCCTCAAAGTCAAAATCTGTGAAGTCTGGTACAGCAACAACCACTTCAAAATCGTCACCTGTACCAAAGCCACAGCAGAAGCCCCAAGAAGATGAGCAAACTGCTCAGAGGATTTATGCAATTTTAGATGAATATGCAGAGCAGCTGCGCAATTCCCCTGACCTCAACAATAAACCAGCTCCTCGTCGCCGTTCTAACCCTCCTACAAATGCAAATCAGTCTTCTAAAAGAAAGAAATCTGCACAAACAAAGGTGAAACTTTTAGGGCAGCAGTCTTCCTCAGCAGCCCAAGAAATGAGTCCTGGAGCAGATGATCCTCGAACTATGGGAAGTGAAGACAGTTCAAGTGGAATTACTCAGTTGTCCCATATTCAGGATTCTCCCGCCCCATCTTCGCAGAATCCAGACGAACCTCTAAGTTTGAGAGCCACTCCATCCGTGGAAATGAGCACTGAGACAGGGAATCTGAGGAGCATGGTGTCAGATTCAGGTGAATTGCAGGATGTTTCAAAGCAGCAGGATCAGCAGTCACAAGAACAGAGTTCTCATTCTCACGAGCAGGAACAATCTGATGGGCAGCAGTCACCAGTGACATTGCACCAGACAACACAGCATGGACTCATATTCACAGACGGGAGTGGCATCCAGGGGAGGACAGTGATAGTGCAGGACAGTGTACCCAGTTCTGTGGATGCAACAGGTGTTGGAAAACCTATCGTGGCAGGAAACTCTGCCACAGTGCCAACATTATTTGCAGGGGTGCGTCAGGTGATTGTACCTGTGGCTCCAGGCTTAACAGCACGGCCTGTGGTAGTTTCATCCAAAGGTTCAAAAGTTATACGTGTTCATCAAGTGACAGTCCCTGGTGGATCACTGCAGATGACACCAGGAATGAGTACGATGCAGGGGACTGCATTGGTAGTGCGACAAATCAATAAATCTGGAATTGCAGCTCCAGTTTCTGTTCTTGGTCAGCCTGCTACAGTGAAACAGGTGAAATTGCCTGTAGGTAGTATATCTTCACAGGCATTATCAGGTGTTACTGCTCAACCCCCAGTAGTATTACCTCCAGGAAGTCATCACCTCTCTGGTCAGGTTGGCAGTGTAGTTACTTCGACAATAGCTCAAGCACTTTCCTTTCCAGAATCAGGCTTAGAAAATGTTTTGCAGGATAGTACAATAAGAACAGAATCTTCGAGTATCATTAGTTCTGGCGAAACATTACTTTTGAATGCTGCTACGACTTCACAGGCAATTGGTTTGATTCGAAGGGGAATACCCACGTCGTTTCATGATAGAATTTCTACACCTGTAGGTGGTATCATGTCAACCAGTACATCAGCCACTGTACCAACATCAGTTACAGTAGATAGGTTAACATATCCAAGTGTCAGACAAGTTTCTTCGGTTAGTCTTGAGTCAAATATTGTTGCCTTGAATTCATCAAATTCTAGCATCATCTCATCAAACTTGATTGAACAGTTAACCACTAACAACGAATCTTCCCAGGCATGTGATCATGAGCTACCAGTGGAAACAGTTTCTGAGTGTAGAATAGAAACTAATCCTATGACTCAGTCTCATGCAACAAGTGTGCAGTGTCTTGGTGTTGACTTTGTGACACAGCATTCCCTCAGAAATACAAATTTCCCTAACAGACTTGTGAAAGATGCAGGAAATGATGTACAACCTATAGCAAAATCTGGTACAGAAAATTGCGCCATTCCCTCAGAGAGTGCGGAAAGTAGGGGTGATCATGTGTCAGTTACCACTTCCTGTGCCAAGCTTGAATCCAGGAAGTCGGATGGAAGTTCTGCTGGAAGGATAGAACCTAGGTTGGAGGTGGAATCAGTGAAGATTTCTGATTCTTTAGATCAGTGTGGTCCCAATCAGCATTCAGATCCTTTATGTGCAACTTCTCCGTCTAAGCTTCATCAGGCAGCAAACTCAGCTGATCAACATGAAGATGCAGCATTGCATCAGACTGCAGGAACTAATACTTTATGTACAAGTAAGTAATGCCCATTACTTGATTTTCATGATCCTTGTGTTTACTGCATTTCCTGCAAAGTACAAATTGGTGCTGTACAAGAGATAGATTTGCATCCATTTTCACCATATGCATGTAAATATTTCATAAGTGACTTGTCAGTTTTTATGGAGATTATTTTTTCATGTTTTACTTTAAAAATTGTTCTATCAGTAGCTCAGGCTTTGTAACATCAGATGATTGGAGATGTTGAATAACGGTGGGCATTGGCTAACTTAAGGTAGTGTCCTATGATATTTTCTTGGAGAGACTGAGTGAAATGGTGAAATCCCCTCATTGTAATCAGTGTCCTGGCTGAGATTTGAACTGGACACCTCCAGAATACTAGTCTGAAGCCTTACTGCTCGATCCACTGTGCTTAGTCTTTTTCCTGATAAAAAAGTGAAGAATTTTCCAGCACATTGTTATGTGAAAGAATCAATGAGCAATCTATCCAAAGCTCTCTTTGTTTGTGCTTCACATCATCAATAAACCTTTTGAACACCTCCACATAGAATGTTTGATTAACAGTCGTCCCTTCAGGTACAAATTCAAAGTGTATGATACCCCTGATGTCAAAAATGTGATCAGCATTCTTTTGGCTATGAACTTCGACAGCTGTGGCTTCTTGAACAAGGAGGGAATTCTTTATTCTCCACTCCATGGACTTGTGTTTGGCCTTTTGGCTATTTCTGCAGATTTAACACAAAATTTTTGCATCACCTAACATTTGAAGTAACGGAATTGCCAGATCACCTGGCTTGAAACTAAAAGTGAATCTCAAAGCTTATTTACCCGACTTTATATATACAGAATGAGAACAGTGACAAATGGCATAATTTAATTTTGAAACTTTAGTTATGAAGGTGTTCCATAGTCATTTTGTGATTTTTAATCTGAATTAAGTTGATAGTGAAGGAAAATGTTCATTTCAGGAATAATTGGTTTAATTCATTCATTTTCATGCTCATCAAACAGCTGTCACCCTTTTTCTTCTTGTACCCCTATATTGTATTTACAGGCACAGTTTATATACACTTTTATCCTTATATTTTGAAGACTGCTCATAAAATATCTGAGCACTACTACTCATAATATAACTTTACAGTTGGTTTGAAAGTCATGGCTGCATAATGTTAAAAAAAGGTTAGTTGTGTGAGAAGAATGCATGTTTTCAATTAAGGGGTATTATCTTTGATGTTAGGCCATATAATCTGGTAGATGTTTACTGATATTTCAGAGTAATGTACTATGTCCTCCTTTAACCGTTCTCCCTTGAGGCTTCCAGCCCACAAGTTGGTTGCCACCTTTTTTTTACCGTCCGTCTTGTTCGCCTTACGTTCGGCGTCACTTTGACTGCCCTACCTGGTGCTGCCGCTGCTGAAGTTGTTAGGTCGTGGCTGGTTCCGGCTTGACCAGGCTCCACCGCTTCCTCTTTCCTTTGCTAGTTACGGATTGGAATTTCAGGATGGTACCTGACGTTATGGGCGCCAGCAAACAGCTAGGTGCTGTTTGCGATTCATTGTAAAGGAGCAAGGCGTGGGTGGGTGGAAGCTGGCGATGGGTTTGACTAGCTCCTGGCGGTGAGTCTCTCCTCAGGTCGGCTACGAGTCAGGCTCGGACAAGTGAGGGTGAAGCACTTCTAACCAACACAATGCACTGTACCACTAGAACACTTTATTGTTTTCTTACAGTCACTCGGCGGTATAAATCCACACAATCAGACTTAGTTTCAGCTTTCAAGCAGCCGGTGTTGCACTTGCTCAAATTACCCATCAGGTCGACTTACCACCGTCCGCTCATGGATTATGCTAGATCTCTTTTAAGTTATGGCCAAATTTTGCACTTCTAAGAATTATTTAACTTAACAAGCAAGTATAATCACGGGGGTTGCCTCCGCCAAGTTCGAAAGTTTGTAGCAGACTAAAATCTTAAACTGGACTCTCTGCCGAGCCAGAGGTCCTAACTGAATTGTATCCGCCTATTCTCCTCTCCTCCTAATTTCCCGGATAGGCTGATTCAAATAAGAGGAGTTGGCTTAATTTTGATTCTGGCCAATGACCGATTGTTTTAGAGGGAGTTTCGGCCTAAAAGACCAAACGGAGAAATTGACAGCGATGCAACTTATGAGGGGTCGCTAATGATCTACTGGCACTCCCACTTTTGACTTATGGCTGGTAGGAACTGTCACTCCTTGAATTCTCAAAGTGACTTGCTGCTGTAAGTCAAATTCTCAATTTCTAAAGAAGCTCAGTGGGGTTCCTTGAAGTATCATTTCTGCCCTTCTGGTAAACAACACCAGATGCTTGGACGCAAGGACTAGCAGATGTCCTTGTCCACGCAAGTTCGGTCTATCTGCTCATCGCTTACTCCTTGCTCTGACTGTGTGTCTTAAACCTTTGTTTCTTCTAATTCTTATTGTCTTCTTTATAAGCTACTGAAATAAAAGAGAGGGGAGGGTAAGGATTTCAGTGGTGCGGTTACACTCCTTTAGTACTGAAGAATAAGGCAATCAGGCACAATAGAACGCCAGTAAACATTGCCCAGACTGTGATATGACATCACAGTAGGTAGTACTCATCAAAGCAGCATTACAGCTGAAGGGTAATTTGGAGGATATTTATTTGTGAGACATACCTCTGAGGCCTGAGTGTAGGTTATTTTTATGACAGCTGACCCTCAGTTACTTGCTTTCGGTTCCCTACATTTATTAAGTACAGAATTTCAGAATCAAAATAATGAAAGTCAAGAGCATGCTGATTTTGTCCAAAAACGTCAGTCGCTTCTGTTTAGAAAGGACCAGAGGATGGATGTTTACATAATCCTGCAATCATGCTATGATATTTTTCATCATCAATGCACTTTCTTGTTCTGTAGATATTCATGATTGGTGAAATTTACAGGTTGTGGCAGAGGAACATGACAGTTTTTAAAATGTGTTATTTTGCCAACTCCTGAGGATTAGTAGGCAGGAACCATGTTATTTGCTAGCTTAACTGATGCTGATGCAGTAGCCAAGGGTAGTGGAGCACACACCATGTGTGAGCCATATCAGTCCAGTTCATACCACCTTATACTATCTCCCTAAGATCCATTTTAATTTTATCCGCCCATTTATGTCTTAGTCTTCCAGGTGGTCTCTTTCCTTCTGACTTTTCCACCAATTTCCTATACACAGTTATTTTTGGTCCCCATTCATGCTACTTGTCCTACCTATCTCATCCTTGACTTGGATATTCTAATTATACTAAGTGAAGAGTAGAAGTTATGAGCTGCTTATTGTGCAGTTTTCTCCAGCCTACTGTCACTTTGTCTATGTTCCTCCCTTAATGTCAGGTACCAAGTTTCCTACCCATACAGAACTACAGGCAAAATTATAGTTCTGTATATTCTAATTGTTATGTTATTATACAGCAAATGAAAAGAAAGAAAGTTCTGAACTGAATGATGGAATGATTTCCTTCTGAATAAAATGTTGTACTTTTGGCAGTTAGATTTTTGGATGTTGCAAAGTTTACTACTCCAACTCCATTATCATTACTAATTTCATGTAAACTCTCATTCCCAGTTGTTGGTTTGAAAATGTCTTCCCAACCTACTTTGACATTGAAATCTCGTAAAAAGATTTTCATGTGGTATTTAGGGAATTTATTGAATACAAGTTCTAATTCCTCATAGAAGCTCTCCGTACATATGTTATCATATCATCAGTAGGGCATCATCTGTTAGGGCATGAATATTCAGAACAATGATATCACACCAGTGGTCTCTTAGTATTATGCATGACATCCTATCACTAACAAAGTCTACCCTCTTAACTGATGATATGATTCTGTTATGCGCAGAAAAAAAAACTACTTAATTTATGATTCTCATTCCCCTTTCCATAGAGAAATGTACATTGGCCTGCTGGTTTGGTGCCTCCTCTGTCCCATCTGACCTGTACTTCACTAAATCTAACTTATATATTTTGATACTTCTTTTGCAACTGTCGTGAAAGAACCTGCCTTATACAGACTTCTTACATTCCATGTACCAAATCTTATGTCCATTTTCCTTAGCATAGTTTGTTTATCCAAAGAATCGGTTCAAGTCCAAAATCCTTTGTTTCGTAACAAGCTTGTTTTTTATGGTGAGTTGTTATCCCAACCCCAAGCTGGAGGTCTACCCCTTGTCGGCTGTGTGTGATTGCTTATTCAGTATGTTTGCAGCTGCTCTCCATATCTGGAGACCATCTTCATCCGCAACCTGAGGACACACCATGCTGTGGTGACAAGTGACCCAACTAACATGGGACACTCAAGACATTCTGATTTAAATTCTAAAGAGTGTTGAGAGTATTTGTATAGAATGTAATATATTTGCATTTTTCTTTCAGAAGAACCAAAATTAAATTGTTTGGAAAAATAAATATCAATTGTATGTACATATACATAGGTCGGATTAAAAGTAGTGGCAACGCCTCTATAGTTCTTAAATGACATTATTACCTGAGGTAAACACACTTACATTCCTTCAATATAATCGCCCCCATGTGTACCACCTTCTGCCAAATTTGTGGAAGATGTTGTAGACCATCAGCGTGTCCACTTCTGTTGATGTCCAGCAGTGACTGCCCTACAGCACGAATAATCTCCTCTGTTGTGTTGTCACTGTGTCCCTCGCAGTGTTTCTTTCATTTTGGCAAAGAGATCCATAATCGCATGGACTCATATCGGGTGAGTATGGCAGATGTTGCAGTATCTCCCATCGCCAGCAGCGAAGGAGATCCTTGACAGCGTCAGCAGTACGAGCCCTTGCATTGTCATGAAGGATGATGGGGTTTGTTGCCAATAAGTGTCGTTGCTTTCACCCGAGTGCTGGATGAAGATGATTATGCAGGAAATTGCAGTAGTAGGCAGCGTTTACTGTCTGTCGTTGAGGTACGCTGTGGTGCAGTATCACTCCATCAGTGTCATATGCCACAATGAGCATTGCCTTCA